CGGGGGAGGGAGGGAAGGAGGCAGGCTGTCCCGCGGCTCAGCCAAGCGGGAGGATGTGGCAGAGCCATGACAGAGAACTGTGACAAGTCCCCACCAGTCCTGGGCCCGGCCCTGTGACAACAGCATGGCTCCGGCCATCAGCAATGCCTTCGCACACCTCTGCGCTGAAGGCTGCCCAGAGAAACACCGTGACAAGCCAGGGGAAGCTGGCTCATGCGTGGGCCTCCTCTGTCGGGAGAGCTCGGCTGTGCGGCACAGGGTGATGCTAAACCACCTCCAGGCTGGGACCCCACAGAATAACGTTCACACAAAGCTGGGAAATACTACCGTGCAGAAGAGGCCACTAGCTGTAAAAACTGATTATTTCGGCAAGAAGTAACAGGGACTAGCTAAGAAGTATGACTTAACCCGCTCTGACATCTCCTGGCAAGACTGACTATACAATACCAGCAGATGCACAACACCTTTTTTCCATGCAGGGCAGCAATGCGCAGCAGTTGAATGTGGGAGGAGCTGATCCACAAACAGTGGAAACCAACACAAGTGGTTAGATGACAAGCGATTTTATTTTGCAAAACAATCACTATACAGCAACAAATACAATTGCAAATCGGATTGAAAAACATGAACTACCTACCACCAGCCATTCAAGAAATGCCTCTTTTATGGTAACAGGCTCTAGAATTATCAGAAAAAACACAGGTTTGTAACAGCAGACTGTATTCCTTGACATCCCAGTGTACAGCATGTTTATTTGTTGGCTTTTTCTCTTTGCTAAAGTTGAAGTAGCTTTTATACGCTTGACTTTTCCAAGTGTGAAACTAATTTACCTTCCTGCAGTGGGAATTGCTGGACTTGCAGAGGGAGTTGCTTTAGCAATCTGACTAGAGAGTGAACTTGACACACACCTAGGCTAGAAATCCACCTGCATCAATTTTCATAGCAAACATGATCTACTCTTCAAGGCATTTGCCTTTGAAGGGACATTTGTACTTGGGTTTGGAACGGTATTTGGTCCAGCATGGAAAAAACTTCTGCTCACATGTGGTAGTCCACACAGGCTGCCTTTCGACTCCCTTTGGGTCGTGCACATAGGCAAACTTAGGTCTGTAAGCAGTCACGATGAGGTTACTACTGTACTTCAGCAGAGCGTTGAATGGACAATACCATTTACTGCTGCAGTGAAAAATATACATAGCCCTTGAGGGCACAAGATTTCCCTCATCAGTATTCGTTTTTCCTGTACTGTTGCTGGAACAGAGGTTTGCTCATCTTTGATTTCTTTTTGCTTGTGGTTACATAGAAACAGAACTCTGCAGATGGGGCAGAAACACTTTTTCTTTTGTCTCTACAACTTGATGGATTATTAATTTGCGGCTCTCCCCTAGCTATCCAAACAAGGTTTCACCATTCCTTTGGTCTGGATTACCTCTGCTTCATTACAGAGTTGGGCCTCAGGCACCTGACATACCTGCTGGCTCAACATGCCTGTGGAAAAGAAACTTAACGGATGCAGTTTCCAGGAAGCTGGCTCTACCTTTGTTAGTGGGCATTACATATTTACAAAACCGTTGTTTTTAAAACCAACTCTTCTTGAGAAGTTAAGATTAATATAAGCTTTTTCAGTGAACATCTAGAGTCATGTATGATAACTTGGTTTTTTGGTGGGTTTTTTGTTTGTTTGTTTGTTTTTAATATGACAGCACAAAACTCTTGATTTCTTTTTATCTAACTCCACAGCATTCTAGGATTCTTTCTATGGAAGGATGATTATGATTACAAAGGTCTTTGCTTGAATCAAGACAAGAGATTTCATTTTAATGCATGAAATAAACGACTTAGTGTGTTACACCGCTCTAACCTGGGACTCTCAGATGGATTAACTAAGCTTCATTTTACAGAGTATGTTGATTTTAAAAGCAGAATAAAAAAACCTTGTGTCTCAGGTTAACACTGTTCTCACCAGCTGGTGTTCAGCTGAGGTTCAGTAGTACCATAGACTCTCTCCCACATTGGCCAAAGGCATAAAAAAAAAACCACTGCAAGGCTAATTTATATTAATCAATAGTATGATCAGAGCAACATTATATAAATACTGGTTTGCTGTTTTTTCTTTCTGTCTGTTGTTTTTCTGGAAAAATGGGAGGAGGCTTTTAATGCACCTCACTTGACACTGCTTCCATGTGAATTCTTAGGATTACTCTAAGCAGAAGTATAACAAATACAAGGCAGAAATCAGAATCCTGAAAATGCACTCAGCATGGTTCTAAAACTTGCTGTCCTTTGCATAAAACAACCGACTTACAAACAGTATTAGGTACTTTATAGTGTGAAAAAGCTTTCTGCAGAGCTGAAATGTCATGTGTGGGGCTGTGAGGAGTTCGTCTTAAGTTTTTAGAGATGTAACCCTTTTATCTTTGTACTGCTGTGACAGCCTAGCCAAAATCCCCCTTTGGTCCACTGAATATTTACTGTCTAGTAACTATGCATTTACTATCTGAATTTAATGATGGGGAATCCTGTGCTATTAATTATTAGAATCCTTCTCCACAGACATAAAAATCTTTTCTATGAGTCTTTTCAGATCAAACCCCAACACACATGCGCACACATACAAATTAAGAAGGAAAAAGAACAGATCAAAAGCTTCCAACACACAATGTTAACCTAATACATGTATCAAGTATAGCTCAACTGACAGTGCAAAGTTTAATTAAGAGATTTCAAAAGGAAAAGATCAAACAATCTGCAAGAATGTAAACTGGTCATTTCATAATGTCTACTGTACATATAGTATCAGCAGATTATTATCCGCTGATGAGTAATACTACCATATTACCTTCAGTGTTCTCTTAGTGTCCATAAGATCATGTTGGAGTTCTCACAGGTAACTCCGTTAGATCGGTTGTTTATATATCTCTGTCCTTTATCTTTTATGCACACTTTTTCTTATACTTTTTATAGTCAATATAATCCCACTTTGCTCAGATTTTAAGACGCCCTATTTATTGATGAATCGCTATGGCAACCCAGTCTAGGGAGCTCATTTTATTTATTCACGTACTATAGTTTACAGGCATCTCTGTTATGTTTATCACTGTTATCAGAGTGCCTGAGTGTATACGTAAGACATCACTGAAGGAGTGGAAACAACATCTTAATACTTTTTTCTGTGTTTCAACTTTAGCAAAAGAAAAAAAATAAATAAATCTAACATTCACTTTTACTACAGGAGTTAAAAAAAAAAAAAGGAAGAAAGAAAAAAAGCCAGAACCAAACTATTGTGGATTTTTTTAAAAATCCAGAATCCAAACTCAGCCATCTTTGCAGACCCTTTTACAAACATCTGGACCCCACAAAAATCATACCTTTGTGAAGAAAGGGAGGGAAGGGAAGAGGGAAGGAATCCTTTTTCTAGCATCACGGAAGAGACTTGCATCTGGCACTAAAACAGGGTCACGGCTTTTAGTTGTTACAGAAAGCAACTTCATGCTAAAATTTTCATCTTTTTTAAATGTATTCTTATGAATAGGGAAAAAAAACCCTGCTAACACCTACTTTTACATACCTAAAATTGCAACACCAAAGGGTGCAAGAGACACAGATACTGTGAATAAAGAAGTAGAATATTCAAGTATATGAGGAGGGCATATCACAAATGGCCACAGAGAAATATATATATATATATCTATAATACTGTATCAAACAGATGGAAAGGATGTGAAACCGGTGGTGTGTACACAAATCTAGCCGCTTAACCAACTTTCTAATCAGACACAAGTCTGTTGGGGTAGAAGTGCTTGCTTTCAACAGCTTTTTCACGTCACTTCCCCAAGCATGGTTCAAATGTTTTCAACTACTGTTTTTAGTTATTAGCTAAATAATTTATTGGCTTTTCAGCTATACACTGACATAATTAACCAGGTCCAAAAAATGTTAATAACTTAATTCAACTTTTGTTCTACTCATTTATACAAAATAACACATTTTTTTTAATTAAACTTGAATTTCTTTATATGCCCTTCCTTCTGGTATGCAGACTGTTAATTTAACCTGTAATAACTTACAATGGGCAACTTTTCTTTTTTTATTTCCCCATCTATCAACAGAACAGTGAAATGAGCAACTTGGGGTATTAACAAGGCTCTTCAGATAGAGGTGGATGGCCTTCAGGCACATGGAAGGTAAAAATGCATTTTATCATATATGGTACTCCATGCAAGACAGAGCAGAGCAACAATAATTGTCCAATGTAACATACTGTACTTGTATACCCACGTAAAGCCAGTGTCTTCCTGTTGTAAATGGAGATCAGGCCAATTTCTGCATCTATTCACTTTTTTTTTTTCTGTTTTTTTTTGTTTTTTTTTTTTTTTTTTAACTGTATGGTAGCTACAAGTCTTGGGATGTGACTTAGTTTTAGACATGGTAAAGAATGAATGTAACACCTGCTCTGAGCCCATTCCTGCCAAGAGCTCATGCCTAAGTATTATTACTTCATACAACGCAAAATGAGCAAATTCATAAGCCCTGCTTAGCAAGGGCTGCTGTGACATCTTCAGCGAGGGTAGCAAGCTGGGGCGATTCAAGCAGGTTGATGCTTCCAGAGGACGAGACGTTGCTGAGTCTGCGTGGCGAAGCCACGCTGGACCTGCCTGGTGACTGCGTGATGATCTCAGCCCCATGATCGACACGGGCTTTAGCATGCTCTCTGAAGTTTAGCTTCTGGCTGTCAATCTGCTCCAGGAAAGCAAAGAATTTAACACATTACATATTCACCAAATTATCTCATTGTAGATCATCATTTGGGTCTCATTTTGCTTACTTTTAAGATATCTTACAAGGACTGAAGAAGCTTCAGTCCTTAGAATAATTGAAACTGAAGATTTTTTTCACCTTGTTTAATATATACTGGCTTACTATGTTACATTCTCTTACTATTTCTGTCTCTGACGGCTGCTTTAAGGAGCAGTACTGTTGTTCCTAGCTGTATGAATTTAATAGACATTTTATGGGCATCGCAATTTGTTTCCAAAATTTGTATTTTCAATGTTTGTGGGAGTGATCTTACTTTCAAGATATTTTCCTCCTCTTTCCCAAAGCACTCCTGATCCTCTGGGATACCCATGCTACAAACTTATTAGTTTATACTTATGCTGTACAACAGTCCCAAACAACGTTTATCTTTAGAGGGAAAGCCAGTGCACAAACTACAGGACGTTTCACTTCAAGCTTAGATGTGGATGTAAGATTGATCATTCAAAGTTCTAAAGGGAGCAAATGGCATGTGAGTGTGCTTGAAGGAGAACAAATAGAAGTTTCCTACTCAAGTCAGAGCCATTGCTGAATTCACAGCTCTAATAATTTCACTCGGCCAGTGGCACAGTGGTAGCCTTTTCTCTGACAGCCGTCCCCTTACCTTGACATTACCACCGCCAGGTACGTGGTGAGCATTTTCCAGTGAACCAACTTTAGCCTGAGCTTTTTCTTTGAAATCCAGTTTCACGCTCTCAATTTTCACACGCCCACCTCCTACACAGAAAAAGGAAATACAGATTAAGAGGCTGGAATGGCTCAGGAGAAAGTCTGACCTGATGCACATGGGTGCACTCACATTACTTCTCTTTTAGTTGAGATCTCATTTTTTTAGAAAAGCACAGAATACCACACTCATATTCAGTAAAATATAAAATCTTCAACACATATTCAAACTGTAAGCTTGCGCTGCAGCCCTACTGATTTTCACAGGATTTAAGCACATGCTTAAGTATTTTGCTGACTTCAGTCTGCATTTCAGTAGCTTATCAAACTGACATTATGCCACAGCAGCATCCTTCTGCATTTTTTTTTAATCTCCTCTCTAAACTAGGTGGTCCCATACCTTTATGTCTTTATGTGTTTAGTTAAGTAAAGAATATTATTTTTATTACCAAAGTGTATTTACTTTCTCTTGGACGAGAAAAGAGAATGGTCTCATCCATGATTTCTCCTTCACATAACAGGATTAGGTCTTTGCTTTGTCCCACATCCCAGAAATTCCTACAATACCTGGCTTGTGGTGGATATTCTTGAGGGAGCCACACTTGGAAGTCACATGACTCAAGTCGATCTTCTTGGTTACGATTTGTACCTGTCAAAAGCAAACACACACACACAAATTACAGGAATGAAAAGAGTCAAATAAATAAAAAGCCAAGCCCTGCAGACGAAGAGCCAAAAGCCTCTACAAGCCACTAGAAAAGGAGAGATGGTTAGTAGAAAACAGATCACGCCACAAAGGAGAAAACACCTGGATTAATACAGCAAGCTTCCTTCCCACCTAGGGAGATGACAGAGCTGGGTTAAGCTTTACTATTAGCAAAATGAAGAAGAGGACAAAGCTTGGGGGTTCTCTCTAAAACGTTCCTGAGCTTCCTCTCAGGGTGCATGCTCCGAAGCCCTGCATGCAGCAGGATGCATCCCGTTTGTTTCTGCTTTTGAATGTGCATCCTGGCAACTAGGATTATTTCGGTGACTTTTTTTTTTTTTTTTCCTCTACCATCTGTTTCATATTTTTGTGCATCTAAATATGGTACGCATTTCAGCTCAATCCATTATGAAGGGTCTGATGAATCTACAAATGTGATTCCTGCAGCTGTACCTGAGCTGGTTGGTGTTCAGCCAGCTGGTGCGGTGGTGCTTGCCAGATAGCAGAGGCATTGCCCTGCTCAGCCAGGCAGCAGCACAGGCACCCTCCCTCCTCCTGCCGCTCTGTGCCCTGCAGCTGGCGGCGTTGCCATCACTGTTCTGAGTCCAGCTTGGGAACAGCCACAGAGCAACACTCCTGCCTTGCTGTGCTCCCAACTAGCTCCCAGATGCGGCCCACAGTCACAGTGACTGCGTTAGCAGGTCTTAAGAAGTTGCAGCCCCTCCAGGCCAGACAGGAGCTCCAGGATGACTGCAATGCCACTGGTTTGCTCACATCACCACCAATGACTTAAGCCAGCACTGGTGGCTGTACTGAATCTGATTGGATCAGACATGCCCACACCATCAGCTCTTCCATCTGATCATTTCCACCAGAGGGGTCAGAGCCACCTTAACCTATTCCAGCAAGACTGCTAGAACTAAGGGGTGCCTGGTCAAACCCTGAGCAACCTCAGTTTGTTATACTGGAATAATGCTGTGGCATTAGCACTCAGCACGCTGGCTGATCACACCCTCTCTCTGAGCTTTCTTTGTCCTTATGCTTTATTTTTCTTCTTCTTCCTCTCGGATTAGCTGAGGAAGGACAAATGCACTGGAAGATGCCCAAGTGTGAGGCTGGAGTCTTACTGTAATCTGGAGGGTCTTTTTGGAAATTACTTTCTGGGGCCATCCCGATGAAAGGCACTGAACCATTTTGGCTCACGCTGGACTTTTACTGTCAGCACCTTAGCAATAACTCTTCTTTTCTCATTTCCTTTTCCTGTCCAAGTTCTGGAAACGTGTTGTGGAGAAAGATCAGGAGGCCTCCACTGCATAGACAGGGCTCACATGACTACCAGACCAGACTCACATGTGAAACAGCAGCGAGAAGGAAAGTAGTGCTCAAAGGAAGGGAGACAGAGGGGTCTGGCTGTGCAAGGTGGGTCACCACAGTGGAGATGCCTGTTCACAGCGTGTCTGTACTACTTACATTTCCTCCCCCTGCAGAATGTTTGATGTTATCTCTGGAACCACACCGGGACTGAATATCACTAAAATCGATCTTCTTGTTTAAAATCCTAACCTAAAAGGAATCGGAGGTAACTTACTATATACCATACACACACTCCACCGGGGTGCAGGACAAAGGGAGCCAGGGTAATTTTTCCTCCTGCTCTGACTCCTGCTTCTGACATTTGTATTGAAATGTAAGAAAGTAAACCACACCAATCTCTACACTTAGTATGTTAATGCAGCATGTAAATGTACAATGCTGGTCTTTTTTATACCTCACAAAGGGGCGTTGAAAGTTCTTATACTGGGTGATATGAAAGGTGTCTTTTCCCTGAAAAGTTCCACAAACTCCTTGCTTGCCTGGACTAGACATAGTCCTTGGACAGCCTGTCCCAGGCTCTCTTGAGTGATGGCCAGTATTTCTGCTGCACTGGCCACAAGGAGGAGGAGGAAATCTTCCTTCCTACAGCTCAGCACTCCAGCCTTTGATGCAGAAATCCCAGATCCGGCCAGCTCAGGCATGGGTTGAAATCCTGAGGTATTTCACCTCTCCTGCTGCCGTACAGCTGTAACAGCAGCTACATTCATACAACAGACCTCAGAGTGTCCTGTGAAAGGGGACTGAAAAAATCCATTAAACTGAAGTCAGAGCTCTCTAAGTGCGCTCTCGCTCTCTTTACTGTCATTTACTAAAGGGCAATGCAGAAAACAACAGCATCTGGAAAGCTACAGCTGCAGTCATTGCTTCTTGATTTCTGGTGCTGGCCATAAAGTTGCTCACAACAACCTTCTGATGCTAGCAGCACTGTGCTTCTCCCCTGTGCTCTGTTTCTGGCAGAACGAGTACCTGACTTTCCCTTGCTGGTGCCAACCTCCCTTACAGATGCTAGGGGCCCATGTTTTTTCTGTGTTACCTTAGCCGCAGATGCACTGCAGGCATACCACAGTGCCTAGAAGTGAAGTCCATGAAGGCAAGGCCAAGATGTCTCATGGTTGACCCCCATCTTGACCCCCATGTCAAAGCAGTTCCTCCACCTGGCAGAACTCAGGTGTCACCAGTGATTGTCCTCCCAGGGAAAGATGTGCTGCTGGATGGCAGTTACCAGTAGGTGGGCACAACTGGGTGCAGGGCACACACCTGAGTGACACCACTTCCCCAGCAAGGGCAGGGGATTGTGCTCGCTGGCATTAGGCTTTTCAGGTGTGTGAGAAGGCATTTCTGGCCAAGGCTGCACCTGCTGCCTTTGCACCAGGAGCTTTTACTTCCACAAAGTGTGCCACCCAGGCAACATATTCTTTCTGTAGGTTAAATATACAGTCTTTTTATTTATCTCTACGTTATTAATAGACAATATGAATTTACAGAAAGACACAGAATTTGGGGCATTATCTATTCATTTTGTGCTAAATGGCACTTGTAGAGCCTTCACTGGCATACTACTTAGCACAGTCCTCTTGGCTGCTGTTGTAGGAAACCCTACAGTGACTAACCGATACTGAGGTAAGAGAGAGGGACAGATACATCGGGGTGCCTTACTACATCTTCTTACCATGCCAGGAACACAAAGCAGCTGCAAACCAGCTGAAGTGGTCAGTGGGAGGAAGAAGAACCTTGTGCAGTTTCTTCTTCCAGGCTTCAGGTCCCCAAACTGCCCCAGGCTCCCTAATAAATCTGAAACACATACTCCTCCTGTGCCTCACATCTCCAAACTAGGAAAAGACTATTTGCCCCCTTAGAGGGATATCAGATTTTGCAGCTCTTGGCTCCTGCAGTGGGGATAATGTCACATTTTAGGTAATGAGTCGAATCCTCTGGCACTGAACACCTGGAGTGCGCTCTTGACTTAAGCCCAGTAAACTCCAAGAAGAAATTTTCAGAGGGCCACGCTTTGCAGCTAGTGGGAAGAATTTCTTCACAGCAAGCTGTTTCATGAGTCCCCTTCATTACATATAAGGTAACCACTACACCAGTCAAACCATTAAGATGTTAAGTGTTCTCTCGCTTTAATCTGTGGTAAAGATCTGTGGTGACAGCATGCTCAGCAGTAAGGGTGATGACAGCACCAAAAAACTCCACAACTGGTAGGTCACCTTCAGAAGGACATCTTTGGTAGGCAAACTGACTCCTGTCTTTCTCTCTCCTATGTGCTTAATCCATCCAAGTAAACCAATGCACACTAAAACATGAATGCCTTTAGAGTTTTATGCTTGTGCTTTCCCTCAATATAGTTTTTGTTTAAAAATATACCCCAGTACTATACAAGACAAGTGTCACATCAGTTACAGAAACACACGTCAGATGTGCAGTCAGATATGGCTCCCAGAGAGCTTCAGGCCAGACACAACTGGGCAAAACAGAAAGCCTTCCTAGCACTTTCTGAGCACATCTCTCAGCAATGGATCAGCAGCACCTCTTAGCAATGGCCCCAGGGATGCATTTGCTCTGAAAATGCTGACCTAGGGGTTATGACAAGACCTCAGCGCTATGGACTGGGGGCCTGCAGCTTAAAAATGGAGCCAAAGCAAGGTGATAAGTTGAGAGCGTGCCTTTGATCAAGTGCCTAAAGGTTGATTTGCACCCGGAAGTCTGACAGTTTGAGTCTCATGGCCCATGGACCTGGCTAGCAGATATGTAAAGGACCAATCTTCTCAATTATTCTCTCTGTCTCACTGGGTGAAATGTGCCCCTGTGTAGAGGGGCCAGCAGGAGACCTATGTATCATTTATGTCCTGTGCTGAGGGCTGAAGTGAGCTGAGTGATGTGGATGTGTTCTGCTGGCCATCTGGCACAGCGAGGAACTGCGCTGATCCAGTGTTTCCCTGATGATCTGTTTCTCCCTTTCCTGGAATATATCAATATCCCTGTACATATTTAAATCATGACTGGCCTCTATAACTAAGTGTTCCACAAACTAGTGGAGCCTTCTTTCCTATAGGTTAAAGCTTTGAACTGCTTAATCCCTCCATCCTATATTCTTCAGCAAGCCCTGTTCCCTCTTGGCAGCAATATTACACAGAATCACTAAGGTTGGAAAGGAC